GACTTGTGTGGAACTGCGCATTAGACAAAGTTCGCTATCAATGTATCAGTTGATTCAGTTTGAGCAAATAAATCGAAAAGAATTTTGCTGATGATAAGAATTCGAAAGAAGATTTCGACGCATTTGGATCCTGTCAATTATAAAAAAGTCCAAAAGTTCCTTAAAGTTTGCTAATTTTTCATCGCGAGGTCACTTTGTAAAGCAGTAATTAGACGAATCGTTCAGAAAACACAAACGGAAAGAGGTGAATAAAACTGGAACGTACTTTCACAACTGTGACATGAAGCCTTGCGCACGTGGAGCTTCCAGGCCGAGACGGTTTTGAAGCCCGTCGTCGGCCTGTTGCAACCGGGCAGGCGGCAATCTGAAATACAATAACGATTAAAAGAACTACTTCAGTGTCTATGATGTGAATGACTGGCGCGACTAGAAATAGCCACATAATCGCGACTATTTGTTAATACCTTATAAAATGGCCGATTTATCGCTAGCAGACGCATAACTTCATGACCTTCTTCATTTTTCCGTTCTACTTCACTGATCAAACGAATGAAGTTATGAATTGAAAGGCGATTCGATGGATCATTTAAAACATTCGATACAATTGTCGAAATAAATGTAAGATTCAGCTGTTTCGGCAGATTTTTTTATTGACTTGAGTATTTATCAAGGAATACGTATAGTGAGTAAAATGAAGTGATGAAGTTAGTCAAAGTGAAACTTACAGACAATATTGTTGGAGCACACCTTATAAGGTGGCGATGCTGGTGCCGCCAGCTCGACTGCATGTTCTGGCTGCAGTGTTGAGATGTCGTGCAGCCGGAATTGTGGCTGGGGTTTCGTCTTTGGCTGCCTTTCCTCATGAGGGATACGGCTGAAAGATTTTAAAGTGTTATTGCCATCGAAGAATCTTCTTTTCTAAGATAGGAAAATTCGCAGCCGGAATTGTGGTGGTTAAGATTTCGAAACTGATTCTATCGAACACCAGACATCTTTTTTTCCCATAATTATCTTCATGTTTCAGATTATAAAAGTAGAAGATATTCTAAATGATTAGAAATGTTCGAATGAGTGCGACTAAAACTCACAGTGAGTTAGTGTTGATCGCGGGCCGGGGGATTTCTTCGGGTTCGGGGCTGGGGGTAGGGGACATAACGTACAACTGCGGCGCATTGGTTGGTCGGGTAATCGGGCCGGATGAGGGGACCGCTGGCGTCAGTATGTGACGCGATTCTTCCATTTCTTCGTCTATATACTGAAAATCAGTTCGGCTATATATTTGAAATGGCAGCAAATATCTATTTTTTGATGTTCGAGTTAGGTAAGGTTTGGAGAAATTTCATAAGATCATTTCAAGAAGACTCTCATTTGATTTCGGTTCTGAAAGATCAGTTTATCAATAAACGAGGTTTAAATGTTCTGAAGAAACGATGAGACTACTGCACTATTTTTCTTAATCGCAACTATTTCCACGAATCATTTTACCAAATTTGTTGGGAATTAAGGTGAATAGTTAAAACCAGATATCACCTAGTGATGGACATTAAATTCGTATGATCTATCATTGAACGCATGGTTCATCGCAGATAGTTCATTTTAAACGAAGCATTGAGTTTTTTTTCCAAGAAATCGCTTTTCATCGGAATTTTTATTCTAGATGCACGGTTGATGATAGCAATTCCGATATCCACCGTTAGATCAACCCAAGACCCAAAAAACACGGCGAAAATTCAGATGTTCACGAGTACTTACTGGTTCGGCGCCAGGGCAAATCATGGCGACGTATCCGGTTGCCCTTCTGACGGCTTGGTATATGGGGCCGGATACGCCGAAAATGTGGGATGGCCCACCGAAACCACCTTGGTGGACCATCAGTTGAATCTGCCTCATCCGGCAGATAGCGTGTATCGTGAGGGGGCTGTTCAATCCCCCCTCGATCAGGCCCACTGCAAGCATGATTATTGTATTCGCGCACAAGTAACGTCAGCTGATTTCACTAAATATTACAGAGCAGCTAGCAATTACTTTCCAGCTGCAATTTGTACTAAAACTGCGGTACATCGCTCTAGGCAATCAAAATTCCGCTACCAGTCCTTGTGAGGAACGGATTTTCGTTTGTGGAACGGATGTATGAGAACGATGCTTAAACCGGTTATTTCGAACGGAAAGATGCGATAACTTACTGTAGTGTTCGGCTCCAAGTCGCTTGGTGTCGAACCTGGCCAGATACAGCCAATTGTTCTTGATGTACCCGGCCAACTTGTGACGGTCCGGGAGGACGATGAATGTTGCCAGTACCTGCATTAGGTTTAGGCACGGCAACCACTGTGCCTCCACCGCAATCAGGTTGTCCTCCGCCGGACATGGTACTTGCTCTCCCTCTGCTGTTCCTACACGCGCTCTCCTTCCGCTCATCATTCTTTTCTTCTTCTAAAAATGGCTCTATGAAAAAATCCATATTGTTTACGGTCAGTTCAATGATATGATTGGATGATAATGATCCAGAGTTAAAGAGAATTCAGGTTCGTATATGCTTCATTCACTCGATGGAATACGTACTCAAACGAAGACAGTAATCGAATTTGCAGGTCAGTGAATATGAGGAAACATCATGTCATCACGAGCGCCTTTTGTGATCACTGAAGTGATTAATTCAGCGGTTTCACACATAAATTTTGCAACAATTCACAGTGAAATCTGAACAAAATTAGTATGCATTCGCAATAAAGATGGAAGAATTTTGCATTAATCGCAACGAAATCAAAACGCAATCGAAAATACGGTTCGATTGATCAATCGCTAATAATTCCCAAGTATCTTATTAACGGTATTAAAATTATCAAGCGCGGTTTTGCAGAAGCCAAAAGGTTATTTCTAAATTGAAATCAACAGCTCAAGGCAATGCAATCACATACTGATGTGCAAATTTTGAATAGCAGATAAATATTGCCTTATTGATTTCCAAAAGTGCAGCAGTTCAATCATAAAATCGCAGTGATCAATCACTGAATCAATCGTAACCGATTACAGCTTCAATTCCGTTGTTGATGTTAAGATAATAAGGTATAATTTCGATGTGGCTTCAAGTGCGGAATTTTTGGAGTGACTGCCTGAGGCATTTGCGCAATTTGATCAGGAGCATCAATTCATGCAACGATATCTTGAAATAATGTACAGCCGCTTACTGATGACCAAGAAGTAAACAAGTTCAGTAAACAAGAATCACCCATATGATCTCGTTCTTACAAGAGAAATAGATGTATTGTGCACAGAATCTTCAGTCATTACAACACAACAATCGGAAATTGCACGTTCACACCAAACGATTTCATTTGAGATTGAGAATGATTTGTGATTAGTCGAATGCAAATTAATGAGCAATTCTTCAACAATAACATCATTTTCCATCATTTCTGTCTCAGAAATTGATCGAATTTTTTGCTGACGATAGCATGCAAGTATTAAGCTCCAACGCAGTGATAAAATTCCAGAACTCCTAATCACATCCGAATAGCTTGTGTTATCAAAGCAATGAAGTCTTATTCAGCACAGAATCATAAAAAGTTACTTTCATCATATTAGATTT